CAGCAGCTTAAGAGCAGTCCGGTGATGAGGCAACAGCTTGCAGGTGTGTGAGGAGGTGAACCGGAGCCAGGCACCTCCTGGCGGTGGAAGGGAGAAACACAAAAGACAAGACAAACAGACGAACACAAAAACTGGGATCCTGACAAAGTTCAGTCCGTGCCCAGAGAAAGAGGTGGATTCCAGCTGGACGGCTGCCCACACGATGCAGCGAACAATGCTCAGAGAGTTTCAGATACTGAAGCATTGAAGACTGCAGAACTGGCAGGAGATCAGATCCAAGCAGATAGAGGAAGGCAAGATGACCCAGAGGGCGAAACCAAAAGTCAGTCTTGAAGAGGTTAAGGAGATCTTCCCAGCCAGAAGATCAGAGATCCGAAGAGGTACCGAAGGTTGGTGTCAGGAAGCAGTTCCGTGTTCAGTGAATGGGCAAATTCCAGCAGGAATCCAAAGACAGGTCAGGCAAACAGATCAGAACAGGAACAAGCAGGCTCAGAGGTCCAAAGGCAGAATGGGTCAGGATCAGGCAATCAGAAAACACTATACTTGCCAGAAGACTCCCATCAAGGGTTCAAGTATAGGCAGGTGGAGGTCAGAGAAGAAGGCAGAAGTCCAAACATCAAAGCAAACTAGGTGGTAGGAGGGGTCTGGACATAGGGATAAAGTCATAAGACAAAATAACACTAATTCAAGGAAAAAGTCAGTAGGGTGGTCCGCCTTGACACCAAGACAAAGCATGAGTTTCTCAGGTCACCACCTTTGGCGCTGGCTGACAGGAAACAGAAGGAGGTGGCAGGAAGGGAAATAGGTCTTCACTATGCACCATTAAAGAGTCCATGGATGCAAAAGGGTTGAAGGGTTGAGTCCTGAAATTAACAAACTGGGAACATGGAAGCTGGAGATCTGGGGAAGCTGAGAGTCAGGTACTGCTCAACAGAGTTCTACTCTTTACCAGACAGGATCTCACCCGGTGTCCCTCTCCCCGACAGTAGAGGCACAGATTCAGCCAATGACATTTGTTCTTCTCATCCTTGGACAAGCGTGTGTGTCCCAGTGGCACCGGTTCAGGATCTGGTGTTTGGGCAGGACCAGGAACCTACGCAGCAGTAAAGTGAGTGGAGTGGGAAGCTGGTCGAGGGCTCGATGACCTCAGAGCTATGCGACATTTCGTGAGACGTAGATATATGGCTCTCTAGAAGATTCTCACCAAGGGCTCAAGAAAAATGTAGCACTTGATGACTGGTTAAAGGGCTGGCTAAATAGAGGCAGGAGCAGGTGGATCAGATGATCGGTAATGAGAAACTGGGCAGAGTTAGGTGAATTAAATTAGTAATACAGCAAGTCATCAGTACCAAGATCATGTCGCTGTGGGATTCTACAGCACCTCTTCAAACTTAGTCTGATGTAGAAGACAGTTCCAGTGATGTGGAACTGCCTTGTTCCAAAATCAAAGAAGACTCAGCCAAAAGTCCTCAATGACCTTCTGCCCTCACATCCCATATCATGAAGGTGAGAGATTTCTGTGGTTCACCTTAATAAATAAATAAGGAGCTATCAGGGCCCTCTGCAGTTTGCTTATGTCTTTAGAGTTGGAGTTGAAGATGCCATCCTTCACCTGCTTCAACAAACCCACTCTCATTTTTATAACCAAGAGACAGCATTATGTTCTTTGACATCACCACTGCATTTAACACAATTCAGCCTGTCTTACTTTGCGAGAAACTCCAGAAGATTCGGGTGGATGCATCAACAATCAACTGGATCAAATACTACCTGATAAACAGACCACAGTTTATCAGACTTTTGAGAGGAGGGTGTTGGCCAAGCTCGCATTCATCGTGGACAACACCTGTCATCCTCTGCACAAGACTGAAGAGGACCTAAGAAGCTCCATTAGGAACAAACTTATACATCCCCTGTTTAAAAGGTATTTAGCACTGTGAAATAACCTTGTTTGCTAATTACTGTGCAATAAACCTGTACATATACAAACAGCCTGTAACTATTTATTTTTCCCTCTTTGTCGTGGTGTAGAAAAAAAAAATCATCTGATCCTGAATGTCAACAAAACAAGGGAGATGATTGTAGATTACAGAAGAAACAGGAACATGTTAAATCTTGTTTAAATCATGTGAGAAGAAGTGGAGGTGGTTGAGGAGTATAAATACCTTGTTGTACACTTGGACAAAAAACAAGGCTGGAGAAACAACTGCGAAGCCATCTACAAGAAGGGACAGGGTAGCCTTGACATCCTAAGGAAGCTTAGGTCCTTCTGCATTTAAATATCCTCTATAAGTCTGTTATGGAGAGTGTGATCACTTCTGCCATCATATGCTTGGGTAACAGCATAGCAACATCAGAGCAAATTACAAAAAAAAAGAAAGATCAACAAGCTTAAAGAACTCTGGGAACTCCTCTAGAACCTCTGGAGATAATTTCACAGAAAGGAATAATTTATAAAGTAAAGATTACTATGGACAACAGTGAACATCCTCTTCAGCAGATATATAAACAACGACAGAGTTTCTTCAGTCAAAGGCTTCTCCAGATTCAGTGCATGACAGACCACTACAGAAGATCCTCCCTGCCTAAATGTATCAACATCTACAACACCTGGAAAAAAAAACAACCTTTGAGTTCCTGCAACATTTCATTTCACTTTGTGATTAATAATGTAATTTTGAATTTAATTGCAATATATTTCTGTTCAGTGCAAATCATACTAATCTATTTGAAATGTTCAGTGAGTTAATGACATGAGAAACAGCGACTGCAGAGATGTCGCTAATAGGCATCCTCTGTGACTATGATATGTTTACTTTTAGATAAAAAGTCACTTAATAATTCTGTCATTACTGTACATTATTATAACTTACATTCATTTTCTGTGAGGACAGTTCTATTGATTTACATATTTTGTTTTGCTCAATTTTTTTTCAGTAAGTTAATGTATGGGGCCATTGCCTTACAATTTTTAGTGTCCCTTATATTCGTAAATATATTGATTAAAATGTAACTGTTAATCTGTTTTTATTGTAAACAGGGCAACAATTTTCTTATCTTCACCTACAGTGGGTCTAAGCTGTGAGGGAAAGTTTCGCTGTGGATCTCAGTGTGTCAGTGCCTTGGCTCGGTGTGATGGAACATTCGACTGTGAAAACCATGAAGATGAGCTTGGCTGTGGTAAGAATAACTAGAATACAAAGCAGTTAAGAGTAAATAGTAATAGTAAGAGAGTACTGTACACTTCAGTGACTCTTTGCTGCTTACTACCGTGATTAGACAGTTGACCCTTCTCACCAACTGAGGTCTGATTATTATTATTAGTCATTAATCTAAGAAATTGTTGATGCCTCCACCTGGGTCTTCTGGGGTTAACAAGGGGCAGTAAAATCCTACAGAGCTGATCAGAACAGACCTTCAGGACTCTTAGGCTGAGAAACCTAAGATAGATCATTCTGATGAATTTAAAATCTAACAACACTATTTGACAAAAACTGGTTTAGCCAAAGCACACACCATGGTAGGGAGTCCACTAAGACTCCACTTCAAGTGTAATCTTTAATCATCTTAGAAAGAAAAGATGGGTGAAAAGAGAAAAAAAATGCTGAGCAGACGGGGAGAAAAGCAGTTTCAGCTTTTAAGGACCTTTTAAATTCCTTCTTAACTCATTCTAAAGTAATTACATTAGCAGGCTCATCATGTTTAAGATGGCTAGGTAAAGAACTCAAGTCAAACTAATCACTCTACTGACTCAGGAGTGATTGGAATAAGGCTATAAGATGATGGTCCTCCATGTGCTTTAAAACAGCAGGAGTTTTTCTAATGCAAGTTACCAGAACTGAGAAAGACTCCTGGATAGGTTTGCAAAGATGAAAGTCTGGCAACCTATAATTTAAGCCTGTTTGTGATTGCCATTTTCAGGATGACGGAAAATTGCACAGGTGTTAAATATTCTTTTTTTTTTTATCCTTAAAGCTGCGTTACCAAACTCTAAGCTTTGTGTAAAAATCGTTTTATTAATCTTTTGTATTATTAGTTGTCTATGCATACTGTTTTATTTCTTGCCATGATGTGTCTCACAACATTGCTGGATTCTATACCTTATGCACCTAAATTTTAAGCACCCGACAAATTTCTGTGAACAGATAGCAGTGCTAATTGTTGTCTTAAAAAGGTCTCTACATTGCATTCATTTTTTATTGCTGTCATGTTTGTCTGGCAGTCTCAGGCCCCGTCCACACGAAGCCGAACCCTGGCCTAAACGCACAAATTTTTCCATACGAAGCCGGCGTTTTGGGGGTCTGTAAACAATCTTTTTTTTATTCAGCCTTCAGAGTGGG